GTAGAGACATTTGATGTTCACATTCAGAGACAAAACACAATCCCTCTAAAGAAACACATTGGCATTTTAGTTGAGGGTTAGAGGATCATTGCACCATTCACTCTCATGAATACAGTGGTGCACTGACCATTTGGCATGTCGGCATGTATGCCATCGCATTAGTGGTGGACTGTCAAAAAAATCCATCAAGGTTTTAAAGGCCATCCGACCGCGTCTTTACCAACACTGTCACGTCATGAGAGCGCGTTCCAGCACTGGGCTCACTGGCCAAACGGCTAGGTCGCCTCCATAAACAATCCAATTCTATTCTATTCTAGTTTATTTTACCATTGAAGTTCGTATAAAAGGTTGCACTGCAAGTTGAACAGCATCCACCATGTATTTATTAATCTTTCCATATGTTGTCGGTAAAGAATTTGCAATTTGTGCTCTTATATTAATATTTTAATATCTGTATTATACGTGCATGTTTTTTGTAGATTATAGTTGCAATGGATACATATGCATTAACTTTCATGCTAAGCTAACCAAACCATATGTTTCCTCATGTTTAACACACCGAGTCATTTATTTTCTCATCAGACAAGCTGCAAAAAAGTTAAATGCCCACATTGTTGAACGATTCCTTTAGAGAAGACCTTTAGATTTGCTACAAATGATGCGTTTAAATGTATGAGAGTAATGCAGTGAAGGGGGCTCGTGTGTGACTTTGTAGTTTCTGCTCTAATAACTTCCCATGCACGTCGCCCGAGATGGAGGCCGGTCCCTTAAACAGCAGGTTCATTACTCTAGGAACATTCTTTGTGTTATTTGCTTTGTTGTTATTTGTTACTCATACATGAAATGTGCCGTCGTCTGTGCATCCCATGGAGAAATATTTCAAGAGAAGTCGTCCTACACAGCCTCCTTCGACCCGTCGGCCCTCTCATTCCTTATTTTTCTCGGTCCCTCTCCTTCTCTGGTACACTTACGTGAATTGATGTGACATATACGCCACTTGGCTGTTCATCCAGTGTGCTCTACCCTACTATAAGTGCGCTCGTCAAACTCCCACCCTGTGAGTTTTGTGCACAATGCGTTGAAAAACGCGGGAGTCTCGTCCCTTTCTCCCATTCTCGCTACCCGTGCCACTCCCTCCATCTATGTTCCCCTGCTCCTCTTTCCCTCCGTCTCTCCCTCTTTCTGTGTGTGACAGTAGTCATGTCAGAGTAAGGCTGGCTGAAGCCCTTGCAGCAGTCTGCCTCTTTGATGTTGAGCCCTGCTGAATTAGGCCATCACCCAGCGGTGCTGTGCTGCCTGCTGCACACACCACGCGCCCACACCCACGCAAACACGCAACAAAAATGGATGCCGGTAGCATGCATGCGCATGCAAGAAAGCCACGCAATAGCACAAGCACAAGCCGTGCAGGTCTCATAATTCCTTAATAATATGCTCCAAACCATATCAAAATGTTATTATTCTTACGCACAGTGTGAGCTGCATTCATATATATATATATATATATATATATATAAACTACATCCTCATTTCCTTCTCTGGTTTTCTTTAATAAACATAAATTTAAATTCTTATGAGTGATTCCCCTTTGAGGCCTCCATACCATAGTACATCAAAGAATGCACACAGTCATGAACACACACACAACGACACACACACACACACACACACACACACACAGGGAGAATGTAGGACATTCAGGGAGAATTTATTCAAGAATACGGAGTACAGGGAAGAATTTATTCCCTTTCAATATGCTCTCTCTTGCTGTTTCAGTACGGTCGTTTGAATAGTAGAAAAGTGAATGTAGTAGGATTGCCTACGTAATTACACATAAAAAATGGCAGCTGCCCTGACATGTCATAAAATGTACGTATATCATGTGTTAAAATGGAAATACACTGTTCACAAAGACACATTTAATTCTGTTGCAAAATGATGGGATTTTGGGATCACGCAGTATCCAAAGCATATAAAGTAAAACATTTTCCAGGCCTGAATGAGCTCCTCATGTCTACTGAACCTAATTCAAGTACCAAAGCTGGTGTCTTTAATATTCATATTGGACATAGATAATTGCGACAAAAGCCAAAGTTCATTGCTTACATTTTGACGGTCCGATACTGAACTATTCACCACTTGAGAAATCAGCAGTATTTTAACCGCCTCGAACAATAGACAGGCATCGCTCTAAACAGGCTGCTGATAGTTGATATTAACACGATATTTCTATGATAAGCTGGAGGAGATCAGAAATAGAGCTAAAAGAAAATTAGATTAATGTTCATCAGGTGGATAGGAAAACGACTTCAAATGAATGCTCATTTTTCTCTATAGCTTCTGGTAAGTAGGCCACTGTTTGCTAACATATAAAACATAATCAGCTGATGTTGTGTTTACTGCTAATTTGGCTGCACCCAAGCGACAAAAATAAATGTATGCAGACTCATTTGAAATACGTCCCTGATTTGAATTAGAAATACTGTAGCAAGTGTTACTAATTCATGAGTGTCACTCCTAAAGCAACAGTTTGGTAAAATTGTATTTGTGATATTTGTTGTATTTTGTTTTTGAGAAAAATGCACTTCTGTGTCAAATGTACACATCTCATGCCGTATACGCATGGCAGTTATTTTGTACAGTATTGTCAAAGCAGGCTGAACAAGATTTATAATGAGACCTCTCTACATTTCTCTCTCTCTCTTTCTCTCTCCAGCACACACGCAGACACACACACACACAGACACACACACACACACACACAGACACACACAATGCCAGGAACAGCCCTGTGGTCAAACTGGAGACCGGCCAGGGAGCTTTCCATCAATTAGTTGATTTTATTTGCCTTCAACTCTCTCTCTCTCTCTCTCGCTTTCTCTCTCACTTATTATTTCCACTGTTGTTGACTTGGTGCAAGGACGCTTAAAAAACACAGTAGGACACCTGTTTTTTAAAATGTTTTAAACTTGCCGTTATTGGGGGGGGTTAAATGACATAAGCACCATGTATGTAGCCTCCATTGACACGTGTGCGTGCAATCTCGAACGTGGTCACAATGTCTAAAGACGTGGATGTGAAGAAACAACCCACTATATTAGACATTACAATTCTGCCTTCCAAGGTGCATCACTGCAATTGTGCATTACTGATCCAGCTGGAAACAACTATAGTCTTATTAAAGACATAGTGAATTAATCTGAGTGCATGGGAGTACCAGTAGTCACTCTGAGCTCACATGCAGGTAGCTCCGATAACGCCCGCACAGCCCGCGGCGTCTTCACAGAAACTTATTCCCGCCTGGCGTTTAGCACCAAAGGTAACACGGTTTGCTCAATCAATACTGGTGTTTGTGCCGTTTGCAGCGTTTGCTGATAGCCGCCAGCTCACCTGTTGGCAGCCATACCCCTAAGTATTGGGAAAACTCTTGGAATTCATCCCTTTTGAGTGGTGACCTCAAATGATTCTAAAAATGTAGCTTTTTTTGCTATTTCTTTTTGTTTACATGGCTTGTGTTTGCGTTTGATTACTTGACCTTTACATTTCATTTTATTTCAAAGAGTTGGCAGGTGAGTGAGTGAGGAGAGCATGTGGTACCAGCAGTTCACAAAAGACTATAACAACTCATTTTTTACACACACACTAACAGCTACACACGCATTAAATTACAATACACAGTCATGCATGACCGCGCACCAAGCCGCACAAAGCGCATCATCACTCCGTATCAATTACACGGGGAAGTGAAGATCTATTCCTAATTCAATCAGTCAGCGCTGGTGTCACATCCCTCGCTCCCTGGCTTTCTCGCCGCCTCGCTTGCTCCCTCGCCGCTCTCTCCTCTCCCCAAAACCCCCCCTCGCTCTATTCTCCGTCATCATGGGGCCGGTGGGCTTGGGAGTCATGTTTGTGGGTTTGTTTGTGCGCATGCTAGAGGGGGGGTTTCAAAGCCAGTGGGAAAGAGTTGGAGTGTCAACATCCCGCTCTATTGCATGTGTACGCACACACAGCTTTCTGAAGTTTTGTATGAAATGAAATTATCACCAATGGTCACTTTACTTTTTTACTTTTAGCTCTGTTTTGGTCTCGACCGATTGTGGGGGAATCAGGCTCTTATGCTTCTAAATGCTCCTCAATATTAACAATCTAGTGACTAACTCTGTCTGTGCTCGGCATGTGGCACATTTTTAGAAGAGTGAAACTGAATGTAAAGTTTTCAAACCAAAACAATGATCTAAAACACATTTTTACTTTTTCACATCTTAAGTGCGGCATAAAAACTCCAGTGGTCACATAAACCACAGCAAAATTCAAAAATCTAATAAAAAAAGATTCATTTAATTACTCATTAATGAACTTCACACAAATAAAAACAATTTAAAAATCTGCTTGTTTGTCACACAAAAATAAAATAAAATTTTACTTGATAGAGCAAATGCACTTTGGTGATGGAAGCAATGGATTTAATTCAATGTTTTGTCCGTAAACGTCAACATGTGTGTTTTGTTTTTATTAAGTATTTAGGAAAAAATGTTAAGTTAGGTTTAGCTTGCAGAACACAGTGCTGAACCTGTATGCGTGTACAGGGGCGGCAATGGGAACACATTCATAACCTGACTGAAAATAACAAAAGCACACAAAGGAGACATTCTGTTTACATCACAGGTTTTTCATTTGCCGGTCAGCTGCGTGTGTAGTGCAACAATATGCTTCTATAAACTCTGTCCTGTGGAACCTGCACAGCTAAAGGGTTCATTAAAACCTGTATACATGAATGCAGAAACAGTGTGTAATGAAGTTTGATAGAATGCGCAAATGTTCGTCCACCCTCAGCTAACCATTGCGTCCTCCCGAAAAAAAGGCATTCATGTTACATTTGAGATACTGTGTGCCAACATTGTGAATCAATCCTAAAAAGCCTTCAATGTACCAGAGTTCTTGAGAATATTCTCACTAGTTGATGGAAGCATTAAAGGATTTGCTCTTCCTCTCCCACTCAGATCATAACCATTTGAACAACGCAGCATTGTCTCCCCTGGGCCCGGCCATGGCGTTGTCTCACCCTCACAACAACCTGGGAATCGGCTTCAACAAGTACGCCTCGCTCAAGGCCGTGGGTGAGTAGGACCACACGCACACAAACACACAAAAGCTACATGGGGAAACAATGGACAAAACTAGTGGTGTGTATCTAGAAGGACAAGAGGTCAATGACCTGAAGCGGTGGACACGCTCAGTGGCAAAGTGGTTAAGGAAGGGAAAGCGCTAATTAAGCTGGTGGTTTTGTAATCTCACTCCCATGTTTGCTGACGCATGACTCATAGCTGAGTTTTCTGGCTGCATGTTTTATTAACTGACGGCATCCATTCCCTTGTCTTAAACAAACCTGCAGCATGCACAATGGGCAGTTGGCAAATAGTTTGCACGATAATTTCATTAGCTGCACACGCACGTGGTAATTGGGCCACCGGTATCACGGTCACAGACACATGAAACCACCACAACCTCATTCCAATAGTGTCACTTTAACAAATGTGTTTGCTGCAAACAATGAGAATATATTTAATATCTTGAATATCTGCCAGAACAGGTACACATTATGTAAATGGAAGGAACCTTTTTTTGGTGAAATAAACACGTACATGTGGAGAAATTTAATTAAAGCACGGTGGTGAAGCACAGAATCGATGCAACCTCTTATCCTGTCTTCTGCAGCTGAACATCACACAGCTCACTGAGAAGCTCTCACTGCGGAACAGCAGATGAGCAGGTCGATTTAAAACATGGCAGCTGTGCCTTTTTGCACTAAAACCAATGGACTGCATAAACCAATAGACACAACTACATATAATGTGTGTCGTATATGTGCAGTGCTCAATGTACAATATGTATGCACAGTATATCTAAATGATTGTTGCATGTGGTTTATTTCTAACTGAGTGAATAATCCGTTTTATAATATTTAAAGCAACTGGGGAATCCCTTTAATTGAGCGAAGCAAAAAATGTATTTCATTACAGAAACCCCTTGTGTCTGCTGTTTGTTATTGGCTGGTTGGTCATCTGCCTAAAGCGCAGCCGCTGTGAGGCTGATAGTTAACGACAACTCGCCTTCCTGTGGATGGTCACTGTGAAAATGGAAAAAAAACCTTGTGATGATGGTATAAATTCACTGCTGATATAAAGCCGTTGTTCCAAAACTGGAGGGTGCAAAGAAAACGCACATGTGTGTGTACATCATGTAAACCGCAACCAACCAACGCACACACACACAAATACAGGGCCTCGTTCATCGTGTCCCTGCCCTGTGATGATGATGTGGAACGGCAGTTTGGCACGTGTACATGTCATGTTCATTGACACAATATGCAAAGAGAGACGCGGCCGCCCGTCATCGCTGAAGAGTGTCAGAGACAGCAAGCAAAGAGCGTGACACATTGAGCGCTTTTAAAGGAGGCATATTATGAAGAGTATTAAGACTCATGCTCGTATTTAGGGTTTCCACGTTAATCGTTCGCATGCTTTGATGTCAAAAAACAAAATGTAATTTTTCTCGTATTGTCTGTGTCAATGGTTCCTGCCCGCAAATTAAAAAAACAAACCAAAGCAAGACCGATGAGGACTTGACGTGCATTGTGTTGGAACCCCACAGCAGCTCAGGTTACAAGCCGACGAGCGCAGCAAAGAGGGGGAGAGAAAAAGGGGGAGAGAGATGGAGATAGCGAGACACGCAGCATTAGAAAGACAAGAATAGTTTAGAAAAACCTCCTATTGAGTGTGAAAATATAAATTTTTGCATTGTTCCCAACCTCCATTTTAATATTTTAAGTAATTTTACTTGAAAGCAGCCACATTAACGTGTAGAAGCACTGAACCGATGCTAATTCAAACCACCCTTTGCCGCTTTTTTTTTTTTTACAAGGCAAATAGCAGTATTTGCCTTGTAAAAAAACATATGAAACAATCCTTTTCCTTGACTTCCCACAGTGGTGCACAGAGCAGGCTTCTGATTTCTAACCAGCAACTACAGATGAGCAGTGATAAACAGGGCTTTTTATGCCTCAGGAACGCCTGAAGGGAAGGAAGGACTTCTTATTTGCCGCAAACATCCACTTGCACTCCAGGATGAACTGTTTATATTTTGGAGGTTCAAAGCTCAAGGTCGGTGGGAAGTCACAAAACATGTTTTTGACCAATACTTAATATGCTAATTATGACAATTCTAAACACATCTCTAATAAGGCTATCATGAGGAAGTGATGGTATTTTTGATTTGGATAGAAACTGCAACTTGACTGTCTGGAGGGAGCAGAGAGCTGCAGGGCATGAAGCATGAGTCCCGTGACATTAGTTGTGTTGGTTCAACAGGATGCTCAGTCTTTTAATAAACAAAATTGATTTGTTCATTTTTTTACTTCCCCAGGTAATTCTTAATGTGCTCGTCCACATTTTAAGAAGAAAGCTACATTGGCGGCAGTCAATCAGTGTATGGTGCCCTTTTCCTCCATTTACCAATCAAAACACTTCCGGCTGCCTTTTGGTTTGTTTTTCATATTCTCTTAGTCAATGTCTAAGGAATGCCTTTATGTTTTAAGCTCCAGTTTGATCCATATTATCTTTCCACATTCATTCATGCCCCGTCTCTATTATATCATTGGTTTCAAGCCTTTATAATTATGTTTCATGACTTAATAACGAAGAAAGAATGATCCATTTGCTGTGGTCAGATTATGATATCATGTTTTATTATCTAATTCAATTGTTTTTCGTTACACTTAATTCTGTTTAATTATCTAGTTGTTATTTTTCCTTCCAATTCTGCTTATATTATAAGATTTCTTTTTTGAGGGCCACTTTAAAGCCAGTTACATCTTAAAGTACTATTTTTAATGAAGAATATCCTCTCTTTTCATTCTTCTTCACAATAAACCTGTGCTGTCCAATTAGTCAAGACAGTGGGGAAGAAAAATGATGTGGAAAGTGATGGAAGAGAAGAGAAAAGCAGAATAGGGAAAATGTCATCTCATTATTCTGCTCAGTGAGTGAGAAACAAAGGCCGATTGCAGCAGCAGCTCCGTCCCAACCACTCAGTGATGTCAGCGACATTTCACAAAAAACTACGCTGAATAACTAATCCCTCACACGCTGAGGTGCAATGCTCCTTTCCACCCCGTCTCTTGACATTTCTGGATTCAGTTTGCTCTCTTTCTCTCTCTCTACACCCACAGTTCTTGCGTGTTGTGTTGTCTGCTATCAGAAAAATGATCCTCTGGATCTGTGGGTCCACATGCGCTGAATGACTTACCTCACAGCAAACACAGAACGCGTACAACGCACACACACTTCCGGCATTGTTATGCATTGGATACACAAAGAGGCCCGTCTCATACGCTGTGTATTTGATGCATGTCTGCATGAGGTTTTGGGGGCACGTTGTTTGCGGCCCGAGTTGAGGCCTGCAGACACTACATTGGGTTTTGTCTTGAATTTGAGTAAAAACAAATTCAGAAGTTTCAGTTATATATATAGTTTTCAGTTACTTTGGCATCTCTGAAAATAAATATTTGATTATCAATCAAATTATTTACAGAAAGAGAATGAAAATGATTTTTCCTGAGTCCTTAAAATGCATTTTCATGGAGAAAAACAGTAATTCACACCCAGTCCAATCTTTTTTTTCACTCATGCTTCTCCGTTCCCTTGATGAGCGATAAACCAGGAACCAGGTCCAGAGATCCTGGCTGAGCGCACAAAGTCATGGCTAGGACACACAACTATTGGTGGGATAGCTGAGCATTTGCCAGCTGAAATAGAAGGCACCTTGACCACGCTGCTTTCAAACCTTTATTAACCCGTTGCCGCTTAATGCAGCTGTTGACGCCTTTGTTTTTTAAAACACAAGCAAGACGCAAGAGGTGAAATGTGACAAAAGGAAGCAGTAAGAACAAAAGTGGATGATAAAAAAGGAGAAGGGCAGAAGAGGTCTTTGACAGCAGTTCTGTGCCAGCTGTAGCAGCAGGACTCTGGCTCATGCAGCTCTTATTTATCCGTCTTGATTGAAGCAGAACAGGTGGACTGCAAGATGGAGAAACATGTTGGGTGAAGATGTGATTGGTTAGAGAGTGAGAGGACAGCAGCAGAGTAAAGCGAGAGGAGAAAGAGACACACTTACAGATGCTCTGGTTTGGCCTTGGGGAAGCGCTAATGAATATGAGCAAATACTGTACGTGTGATGCATGTGGGTCCATTTAGTTGACTGTGAAGGCTCCACGAAGGAGAAAGGAAAACACAAGACGGCAGAGGGATATTCTCAAAGAGGACGTTTGGCCAAGACTGTAAACTGTGTAAAGTATAGATCCAATTGATGACTTAAATGCATCATATAAGTGGTCAAAACACTTTCTTTTATGACTACATGAACTGGACTGATCTCATATCCCTGAAAGATAGTTCTGAAGTTGAAGGTTTAAAGTAACGTTTCAGTCTTTACAAGTAATGATCAGTGGAGTACCTGTACGGACCAATCAGGAAACAGTTTAATTATCTTCACTATATTTTTTGAGATGGGCTGCAGATCTCAAACTAAAGTCCCAAGTGTGTCAGTTTGAATTATATAGAAATCTGCAATGAGTGGCATAGAATGTTTCTATTTGAGGTTGTGGGCCAGTCAGAAGAACATTGGCATCTTGGGTTTAAATATTGCAATACTTCATATGACTGCTTTAATTACAATTACATTTACTTTGTACAGTCAAACAACTCCGCTAAGGCAAAACCTTGAGGATTGATGGGATCCGTCCGAAGAAAATACATTACAATTTGTTGTCAAACTCCATCTGTAGTCGTAATGCGGTCGCCCAGATTGCGCCCACGGGCCTCGCTTCAGGCTGGCTGCTGGATGGAGAGGAGAAGCTGATGTTTTTGAAGAGTACAAAATAAATGAAATAAAGATTGGATAACAAGAGAGTGAGAGAAAGAATGAACAGATGGAGGAAAAGCGCACAACTCTGTCACAGCGGACCTTGCTGTCAGGTGCTCGTCCTGGCAACATGTGTGGAACCACTCTAATGGAAAGCAGCAGCAGTTGTTGTGGGAAGAACGGCTGTGTTTAATTCATGTTTTTGTGCCGTCCCAAAGTCTCCTGCCCCGTCCAGTGATTTAAAACTTTAAAATTTTCTCTTTCTTCTGCAGTCACCCAAAAGAGTCCCCGAGTCTCATACCTGACGCAAAACTGAGAGACAATTAAAGTCCATGAAACATATCTGTGCACATACAAGCGTTGGGCCACACTCTGCATATAGCAAAAGCACCGACGTCACACAAATATCTTCACGGCGTCGTGACAAACAGGCAGCTGGTAAAAGCTGCCAAAACCGTATCATGCACATTACTGCACAGACGCATACACATGAAACCGCGTATTAGGGTGCAAAGAATGTACGTAAATGGATTCTCTGTTGACTGGCAAACATTTGCACACACATGTATGTAAATAGAGGAATCCACAAAGACAGTAATCCCGAACACGTTCATCCCTGTTTTGCTAAATTTAAATCAAAGCTGTTTATTCTCCTCATACAGCAAACAATTAGTAATGTGCTATTTTCATCCATTCCATACGATCATCCAACCTTCTTTCGCTCTGAATCTGTATCTGATATGAGAATACTCACCAAAAATAGTACCTAAAGTGATGTCATGAGAAAATATCATTCATCCTTTGAGATAAACAACAAATAGTTGTAATAGCACTAATTTTTCCTAAATGATTACTGGTGACTCAACAGCAGCCGTTGTGTTGCCCTGGAGTTACACAATGGACCCACATTTTAAGTGTTTGATAAACCATTACCAGACAGATCACTGGACCGTTTCTTTACTCGAGGGAATGTAAGATTAATCCTCAAGGTGTTTTCTGTAACTACAAATATATGGATCAATGATCTCAGTTTCCTCTTGCTAATGTAAATTATTAGTAATGATTTAGGAGCTGCTAAACCCTTGTTTTCTAACAAAATACAGTAGATGCCTGAAAACATAAATTTGCAATCCGCTTCAGTAAGCCAATGGATGGCTTTTGTTTAAATTAATATTGTCCAAAGACTCTGCGTGCAAAGCTCTGTTTGTCTGGAACTGCAAGCAGAAGACTCAGAGCTCAAGCAATTCAGTGGTGCAAATATACAGCACCTCAAATATGCTCATGCTCTCTTTCTCTCTCTCTCTCTCATGCATGCATTAATATCCAGGCATAATAATCAACAATCATTGACATTCATAACAAAAAATTGAACTCAACAGGTCGTAAATCGTCAGAACAGACAACTGACACACTGGTATTATTATGTTCTTGTATGGAGTGTAATAATGATAAGATCAGACACACAGGCACACAGATTTAAAAAAAAAACGACAGATGCACTTTGTCATAAACGTGTAGTACAAGCTGATAGCAGCTGCGTCCTGTTATCTCATGAGGAAGACAGATGTTGAGAAATTGCAAGATATTGCGAGATACCAGTATTATTCAAGTGTTCGCATGTACGAAAATCCCTCCCCTCCAAAAAAGAAATGAAACTAATGTTAATGTTAATTCCTCTAAAGGAAAAAACGGACCAATAAAGCAGAACTGAGCAACAAGGTTGTTAGTGTCTTTAGGGCAGTGTGTGGTTGGAGGGGGGGGGGGGTGAACAGCAGAGTCGAGTTCCTCTCAGGGAGATCACACTAATCCGACTCGACACGCCGAACCCGCTCTATTTTTACCCCCAACAAATCTACGCTTTTGTCCGACGCTTTTGCTCACTCCCTCGTCCTCCCTTTTTCCTGTCTTGTGGACTATTTTCTTGATTCTCAGTCTCGCTCCCACTATTCCTTTCTCCCTGGCGCTCTCGGGGTTTTTGACCCCCTCCCTCCCCTCCTCCCCCCTGTCCTTTCTGTGCGTAGAGGGTTCAGAGCTCAAATACATAATATCTCTCACTTACACACACTGTACACCCTGCTGGATTTATTGTGTTTGCCCTGGATTATTTGTTATGTGCTCACCTGACACTGTGTGTGTGTGTGTCTAGATGTGCAATATCTATCTGTGTGACTTTAACCAAATGAGCTGTCCAAATATGTTGAGGGTCAGAATGGGATTAAAATACACAAATTCCGATGACAAATACACAAGACATTGACGAGAGGTGAAGGTGACGTTCACCACCAGTTTCTTCTATTACATAAGTTGTCATCGTTATAAATTTAACCATGTCTCTGCCTTCCATTTTCCTCTCCTGCTGTCTCCCAGACACGACCGCAAGGGACTACTACAAGAGCTACCCGATGGTGGATTACACCCACCGCCAGTCCCCTCCCACCTTCCAGCCAATCAACTTCCACCCCAAGGACAAGCCCTTCCTCCCGCCGCCCGACATCCACGCGCCGCTGGCCATCACAATCAACGCCTCCCAGATCCCCAAGCCCAAGATCTCCAAGACAAACACCCACCCTCTGACCTCTAGCTCGGCCTTTAAAGCGTGGGACCCCAGTAAGAGCCACATCCAGCACCCGGTGGCCACTCATATGGTCCTCCAGGGGCAGCAGCAGCACCACCCCATCCAGCAGCAGCAGCAGCAGCAGCAGCACCACCAGCCGCTGCACCAGCAGAACAGCCGGCGCCTGGCCTACTCCAACAAAAGGCAGTTCAGCATCGAGACGCTGCCCGAGCTCTTCTCGCAGCCGCTGGGCTACAGCCGCTCGCCGCACGTGCACCCCAAGCACAAGGGACTTCCCACCAACAGCAAGACGGAGGTCACCGTCTGAACATGGGGACGAACGGGCGAATGGACAGAAGAGGAAACCAAGTGGAGTTGAAAGCAGCTTTGAAAGAAGTGCTCAGATATCTTTTATATCCACAGCCGTAACGGCGAGAGGAGAGAAAGCAAATATCGTGTATAATCGGATCATGATTTGTTTTGTTTTTTACATTTTCCTCATCGTTGTTGACAATAATAATAATTATAATAATAATGTGAGTGGTAGATGATTAGCCTTGAAAGGTGGTGGATCGGCGGGCTGTGACTCTTTGAACCTGGCCGCTCCCCTAAATAATTGAGTGGCCTCTCAGTGTGTTGGCACGGCTCACCCCTTCTTCTGCAAACCCCGTGCACCTCAATGACACTCGGAACAGCTCGGCAGCACAAACGTTCAGATGCCACGTACACCCACTATTTAGCCCACAAACCAGTCCAGACGCACTCCACCCGTCTGCTGCTCCAGCACCAAGGACAGCGCCCTGGATTTATCGTTACAAACCCACTGAGGCTGGTCTGGTCGATTCATTAAATGGGATCGAGTCTACGGTGGGCGAAATCGGCCTTCGGCACAGCTGGAATGGGGTGCTGCTGCGCCCGATGGAGGCCACAGATACACTTCAGAGCCATAACGTCGAAGCCGCGGATTCTAACTTGCACACAACCTCAGTGAGATGAAGGATCAAGAGTCGAGGGCAAACGAGACAAACATATTCAACTTGACCACCCCTCCGTGCCCCCTGCACCCGCTCCGCTACTAAGAGATGGAGAGGTGGGATGTCAGGTCAACAAGAGCGATGCATTTTGGCCAACAGAGGGGGGAGGCGTCCCCCCCACTCCCCCTAAGATCGCCTGCTGTTTCCCGGAAACTGTCAGAGAGGCTGTCGGGGGGGGGGAGCAGAGACAATGCGATTGTGTTGTCGTCTCCCAATGCCCTCCGGCACCTCCAGGGAGTGAGATATCAGCCTGGCCATTCACACCAGCGGGGGAGGGGCGGGGGGTCGGTTATTCATCTCATTTTGAGGGGCAAATGAGAGGAGAAGGATCTGAACCACGTACACACACACACACATAAAAACTACAGACTACTCCCAATGACAGTCAAACACACTTGTGTCTCCACACACTGGTCCTTCAGAGCTGAGCGAATGATTTAGCGCTCTGTTAGTATTTCTTTGAGCTGATTCACTTCAGTCAACATTTCTTGTGTGGCTGTGGATATTAACCTGGAAAGGAACCTAGAGAGAGGTCTGTGTAAAGTCATTGCCTTCTCTCCTTTTCGCCTTCTACACTCTAGTTGTTGTTTTTTGAGAAATGTCAGCCAGTGCTGCGAGTTGTACCAAAAAGTGAAACTACGGTCTCTGAATATAGATCACGTACACCCATTTTTACTTTTTGCACGATTTAGCGGACAGAGGAGCATGAGTTGATAATCAAACACGTCATGGTTAACATCATGAAGTGTTTATGGATGTAGGAGGAAAAAAAGCAATGATGCGTTATTTGTCGCCGTGTGGCTGTTCCTAAACGCAGCTGTTTGATGCATGCGTTTCCTACTGCAACGCTGACATATTCTGAGTGGCAGAAAGCACGTTTAAGTGTCCCGCATTTCACTTCAGTCTTTCCACTGCCACCCTTTGGAATTCAGTGAACAACAGGTCATTAAGTTCATGCTTTTAATCCAGTCAAACACAGTAAAAGCATCTAGTTTCTTGCTTTTATGCTATTTACATATATTGTGTCTTCATTGCTGCCTCGCTAACGTTCAGCATTTTTGTTATAAGGTTAAAGGCCGTATGAACCCCAAAGCTTCATTGTGTGTACTTCTGGAGAGCTGTATGATGTCACTGGAGCTAACGCTAAGCTAGCAAATAAATCCAAACTCTATGCGGGCTCTTTGTTGAACATCTATTATTCTATTTCTGCCAGGTTAAATAAAGAAATAGTTACATTTCCGTCATACAATTTTGTTATATTTCAACTGCACAGTGACTCACTGAGTAATGTAACTGTTTACTTGCTGTTGAGTAATTAGCAACGGAATTAGCTTTCCAGTCAGTAATACATGACATTACATCACGTGTTTCAAGCAACTCGTTGCATACTGGTCATTTCTGGCTGCAGCGGCTTTTCAGCCTTTAATATCTCGTACCGCCGCACCACATTTCCTCCTCTCCTCCTCCACCATTCAGAACAGCCCAACAGGCAGCCGGACTCACTGATTGAAAACACCTTCATTTGTTATCGTGAGGACACCAGCTACGCCGCACTGCATATGCCCGCCGCATGCCACAGCACATCAGACAGGTGGTGGAACCCAATCAAACGGCAGCGCTCACCAGAAGTCACACATTATTTAGCAACTTCTCCAGCTCCGACTCCCTTTTGCTCTCTCTTCCGTCGCTCTCTCTCTCTCTCTTTCCATTTCCTGCCAGCCTCCTGACAGACTGTTTTCTACTCCCCCACAGCCTCCCTCTGTGCAGCCACGTCCATGGAAAGTTGAGCGATGGATAAGCAAGCGCCTGTCTGCCGTTTGCCATCCAGTGCTCCGAGCTGCTGTAAAGCACGGTATTCTCACTGGGTCCTCACATTTACTCCCTTATGCAACCTCGTGCTCACGTGCACAGGTGAGACTCAAGCTCTCGCCGGCCAAACAAAACGCTCACACGCCGGCATCCACGAACTACGACACAAATGACCTCACTAAGTTGTTTTTTTTTATTCCATTTTCTTTCAAGCAGAATTGTCTGTCAGGAAAATTCCTCATTTTGCGTCTCAATCTAACAAGAAAATAAAGCGAGCGACGGAATAGAGCTTTAACCAGGGAAGAATAAATTAGCAATACAGCGATCGCTTGTAATACTGCGACGGCTTCTCCACTTTACCGCTCCAAGATGTGAAAAACCTGTAAATCAAAGCGACTGCCATGCTTTTGTAATAAGGGATCAGCGCAGAGTTTGGATCACAAATACAAAAGCATGAATACGCATGTTGTGAATACGCATCAAACGCGTCTGCGCTTATACTCTCTCCAGCACTGTACGTAATCAACCATGTTGCAGCAGGTCCCTCCTGCTTGGCTTCCATTTCACTCTTACTTTTATCGGGCGCCACACTTACAGTGGGTCGCTCCATGAGAAAAGTATTCTGGCCCCCAACAGCCCGACCAAATTATATTGTCATATTACCATAAATATAAGGTGTCTGTCCATGATCATTCAAAATGCATTAGATGTGGAGATCAAACGAGGAATGAGTAAACAAGCAATATGCGTCGGTTACGGTCGGTAAAGCAATAAGCGTCCAACCGTCCTCCCCCCTGTCCTTATCTCTCCCGGTCTGTATGTCTGGAGACCTCCTCCTCCTCGAAGTTTAATGGTTGTGTTGCTTATGAGGGTTTGGGTGTTCGACCCGAGTGAGTGGAGACCTGAGCAAAACACTGGACACGGCTGATTCTGATTTGTTCGGATCCTCCCAAAAATAGAGTTATTTCTGAGATTCATCTCTCTGATGCATTCAAGCAGCCAGCTTACAAAAGCATGCTGTGACCGTAGCTGAAATGGGATGTCGGTCTTTTACGTATACTGACTTGCACAATTTCAACATCACAGCCATAGTTGCCGTTTGGGTCTCGGAAGATGCTCCGACTTAACAAACAGCCGTGGAGGTTCAACACGATGGCAACAACTTGCTCCAGGATTTCCAACGACGGGAGTGTACAGTGAGTCCTTGAGGACAAACAGAGCCTGAGGACAGGCTACCAGCAAACTTCTGACAACTTCTTTTTCAGCTTTCCTCACAGTTTTGTTGGCTGACATTGCTCACAACGATTCTCCTAAACAACACGCACTATGAATGGCAGATTCTTCAATATCTTCTTGCTCTTTGGGAGATGCGCATCGGACATGCCACAATCCCAAGGAACAATGTCGCTGATGTGCGGAATAACACTTTTTAATGTTCACCTCCCGGTTGCCAGGCATCCAGGAACCATGTGTTTGTTTTTGTTTTTCTCAATGCTGAACGGACAAAGGACTGCCAGGAAAAGCAGTTGGTAAAGCTGAATAAATTCGACTGAAATAGCTTTTTGACGAGCCGCAGTTTTGCCTCTGTTGTAGACAATGTAAATACTGGAACACGTGCAAAACATACACGCACATACACGCACACAAAACGAGACACAAGAGCCACAGTAATTATATATCTTCTGTACAATGTCCACAACTTGTGTGGTACGCAACAGGACCAAAAGCCTTGAATCAGGGGAAACTGAGTACACCTAAGTGATGCTTTAACGTCCACAACGGTGACGATGAGACGAGACTGTTTGGACCATCAGTTTAGAGTGAACATACTCAATTTCTCCCGATTAACGACAGACTATGGCGTCACTGGCTCATCGCAGAGCTAACTGACTGTTGTTTGTAAAACTTTCTCTCTATAAAAGAAACGCAATGCAAGTATTCTACCAAGGGTTATCCGAATGCAACCTGGTAGACATACTTGGGCTCCATGATCCCTAGCAATATATAGATTATGGTGTATGGTTCAATCGTTTCTTTGTACTCTGTCAGTTTCTTTTTTTTGTAATGTGTTTTTTCAAGGATTAAACTCCTGTCAAAAACAAAAAAAAATAAGTTAATTTTACCAACGGAAGGGCAAAAGTGCTTCCAGGTGTTAGACGGCCGCGCACCCTTCAACCCTGCTCCTGCTCACCTTCCTTTACCAGCAGAGGGTGTAATGCTTGAAGCTTGTGATCTTTTGAGTTACATCGTATGGTATACATGCACTCATGTATTAATGTTAAAAGATATTGCATTGTATTCAAGTGCTTTGCCAACACATTAGCTGAAAGGTGAAAGGAAGCGTCAGTGATTTCTTGTACAGCTTTTGCTTCTGCAAAAAACGACAAAAAAAAATAAAGTCATGCAATGTTTCATGATAATTTGTAATTGGCAGCAATAGGCTGCCTTGGATTGCTATGTACTACTTGTGTATATATGTATGCTGTACCACTTGTCTGCTGTGAAATTTGTTGACTACTCAGCTTATATAAGGGCTTTTTATAGATATAAAAACAGACAGGGCAATCACTCTCTGTAACTCAAGACAAACTCAAGAGTTCTTTTTTTTTTTAGGGATGGCGGGATATGAACAGAATTTCCATGCATACAAAATGCTAATAAATAAAGTTTTGACTGACAAACTAGCTAAACTGTCTATAGGCAAACATGCAATGTTGGCCCATGTGTCCTGTTTGAATAAATATTTCGAGAAATATAGCATTCATTTGTTAATAGTGTCTTTTTCTGTTCTAGGAGGAGCAATAGTTTAAGAAACATAACATAAAGAACTCTTTGTGACTGCATTAAGTAGATCATTAAAAAGTCAAATCTGACATTTTGGGTCGATATGATTGTTCACAGATTCTGCTTCTTATTTCTGATGGAAATTGAAAGCCAAGATGGCCGCCAGTAGGGTGAGAGGAGTCCACACTCATCTCTTTCTTAAAACTACACCCTGCAGGTACTCGTTGTGGACCGCATCTTGCCTTTACACGGCAGTGTGAACGCACTTATGCACTCACAATGGCAAGCTTAACCAAGTGTGTACACAACATTGAGATCCAGCACTAGACACTATGTGCCGAAGAAACTCACCAGAGCAGAAGGGAAGTGCGGCCCGTGGCGAGCTGCCGTGCAACGTTCACGGGAAGCTGTGGCCGCCACTTTGAGCTGGGTTCCGCGGTGAAGTGCAGCCAGAGAGCACCTGCGGCCACAAAGTCCTCTGAATCCTGTTCGCATGTTGACTTTTGTTGAAAACAAATGAACTCACATGTGTTCAAATAAATTATTACAGCGAGCTAAGTATGCAGCTGTGTGCCGGCAAATTTATTGTGACCGCAAAGACCCTTTATTCCAGTCAGCTGCCGCTGTTGAGACTCTTTTCAACAAAACGTAACACTTTTAAATATTATGCCAACAGTAGCGCGAACAAATACCTTGTTGACATTTCAGGTAAAAGCTTGATCTGAAATTCACCAAGTTCAGGCTTCATGGAGCTTGTCAAAAAACATCCAGGGAAATACGGGAAAATCCATATCTCATAGGAGTGGGTTCGCCAGCAGGGTAAATGTTGACACTTCTACACAAAAGCTATGACTGATGTTACAAACAAGCACAGGTTCATCCATGAATAAAGGCTTCCCCAATAATCATTTAATTTAATCGAATATTGGTTGTGACAACAATATCCGTGGTAGTGCTGAATTGGGATATGCCACCTCCCACAAAATGCAGCCCAAAACATCTGCTTTAAGCTTAACTTTGACCCAGTTAGAGAGTGTCAAAGCCCGACGCCCCACACAGCATGCTTCCAGGTTTACTGTGAAGTGTTGAAGAGTGGAACAGAAAGTACTGAAAGGCACCACATTTAAGAAATACTAAAAGATCGGAATAAGAGGAACTGAGAGAAGGGAATACCTCATCTTCTAACATCACTTTTATTCAGATGGACAGGGGAAATATTACAACTCTCTTTAGTTCTCTGCTTTTTTTTCTCCTCCTATGTCCTTGTAGCACTGAGCTGAAAGTCTGGATCTTCCCAAAGAGTCGTGTGTCCTCTTAATTTGTTCTGACATAATCAGGTTTTGACTAGATGTCTTTCCCTTTGGGTTTTTCTGGCTGCGTGTGTTTTGGAGTGTGTGATGTCATCCGAAAGCATGTTAAAACGACCAATAGCCTCTGAAAGCATAACAGAGTTTAACCGTTTTTTTAATACTGTTGGTGAGAGATACACATTTTATCAGGCGGCGTCGTGTCTAATTGACCGACTGTAAGTCATTATTTCTTGCCTACTGCTGCGACGTCCTCACGGTTGGATCAATAGACTAATTCAGTTCTAAATGTCTGCACAGCAATCTGACTCCATTCATCTTCCACCTGCAGCTTACGTTTAACATCTTTAGGATGGGATAGTTAATTGGTTCTGACATTACTAATATGATTGCCCATTTGTCCTGCAACGAAGACATGCTGTGAATTAGAAATCGTATTGCTACTCTGACTGCTCAGAGTGGCAGCAAGACAAAGAGAATAAAGAGAGCTGTTTGGAATGCAAAATTGGAACTTGGAACCATCCATAAATCAAGTTTTCCCTAGTGGGTGAGAGTGGAAGGAGTAGGTTATTGATTACATTAAAATGTCAGGGGGTTTTAATAAAAGTGGTTTTAATAAAGGTTGCACAATGGTAACAACTTAGGCCGAGTCAGACAAATGTTATTGTGTTGTTTTTATATTGTACGCACAAGCATTTGAATAGCTTATGCTCTCCTTTATGCACATGGCTGAGAGACAAAAAAGAAAAACAAGCATATATAATGTGCACACAGTAAGTAATGTGTAAGAGACAGAGAGGTGACAGATGTTCATACATGAACACACATTGCAGCAGAACTACTATTGTTTCAATAAACAAACCGAGCTAAGAGGTCAAGCAGGTTGTGTATTTGACCTTGACTTTAGCCTCCAAAACCCTTCCCTCACGCTGGTAGTCATGCAAGTGCCTTGTTTCATTGAAACAATTATTTTTTTTATTATTGCTGGAAACGGTCAATACAATAATATAAATTATAATAGAAAACATGGCACATCTATTAAATATAATAGAGAAAATTTGCTTCATTAGACTGGAAACAGCTGTCCGAGGTTGCAACACACTGGGCTTTGTGTGTGAGTGTGTGTGTGTGTGTGTGTGTGTGTGTGTGTGTGTGTGTGTGTGTGTGTGTGTGCTTGGGAGTGTGAGAGCAGGCAGGGCAGTGGGCATCATCTCCAGCTGTCATAAATGTCACAGTTCATTTGTGTGTCTCAAGGGTTTGGACCAAATCCATCAGAGAGAGCAACAAAATAAACGCTCTCCCCCTCTCTCCCTTTCTCCCCCTCTCTCTCTCTCTCTCGCTCATGGCGAGCATCCTGGAGCTAAGTACCAGTGTATAAATGTTGTTATTCAGGTCAGAGGATACTGTAATATTGCATTACCATTACTAAGCCGTCTTGCTAATACTAATGCAGAAACTCTGCATTCTAGTGGCAAAATTAAATCAAACCATCGGAAAAGCTAAGTAATTGTTAACAAGGATACTTTTAAAACAGACAGCAACAGACAGCATTAAGACAACCCGAGCATTTTTAGTCAATAGGCCCCGGGGGTTGAACTCCTTCAAATTAAATCAGCAGGTGTTGGAGGGCAAGACTCGGGACCTTGGCTTACCTTTCTTCTCACAAATTTATTTTGGAGGAAGGAAAAATTTTCACGCCCCAACACATTTCTTATGGAAATAACCATTTTGTGACTCCTCCAGGCTTTTTCAAATAAATGAATAAAAAAAAACTGCAATCACTTTCTAGTCAACCAGGTTACTACATCATAAAAAAGAAATAAATTGTCCAACCATCTTGTTAGAACATTGAATATAAAGAATAATATTTGGCAAAAAAAATGTTTTTAAATATATTTTACTACAAATATAACCTGCAGGGCATATTTAATACATTAATCATTACAGAAAATGACAAAAAAATAGGTTAAATAACATAAAATGTAAGTAAGGTAAATAGAATTAGGTAAGTAGAGAAAACACAATATGATATTAATAGTAATAACCCCCCCCCCCCCAACCCCTCCCCAAGAATAAAAAAAGTAGGTTGGTGCATAGAGGAGTAGAAAGTAGTTTTATAATGCATATCTTTTCAAAACAACAATAATGTGCTGCCTGTGCATGACAAGAAATAAATACGTATGAGCCATCTGATACTGATTAAACACGTTTTATCAGTATTAGTGGCTGCAATAAGCCTGCTTTGCACTACAAATATTTTCAAAACAGGGTTACAGACTTGATAAAGACTCTAACTTGCTTGGATCTGTATTTTGTTTTATGAGGAGTCTGCACCTTGTACTTCTGTACTTTGGGACGTTCTCAATAAAGTTCTTGAATTCAGAATCTCCTCATGTGCCCAGCCTGTAACACCACTACTCCACTACTCCCCCCAGTTTGAGAACACCGCATTAGGGCCATGCAGTGTGCAGCTGAAAAACGTCCTTCCCATTGCAGTTTGGAAGCATCAATGGCCTTTTCCCAGCCCACCTCTGTGCCTCATTGCCATGAATGGATTTCAACCGACACCTGGCAGAACCAGATAAGACAGGAACTGCCACACAAAGACTCACTGGCAGTAGATAATGACACGGCAGAGATTCAAATGGACGAGGAACAAACAAAAAAACACCAAAAGAAAAGCCAAAAAATGGGAGGAGGAATCCCCTCTCTAAAGAAATATTGTCAAAGGGAGAATGATCGTAACAATTACTCTGAGATAGAAAATACCAGGAGAAGAAAGAAGGAACAAAGGAAATCCGAGAGAAAAGGGAGATGACATTTCCACCAGCAGAGAGCGTGTAACAGAATTTAACATAAGCTGTGCAGAGAAAAAGAGCACTAGATGGGCAGAGGCAGAAAGCGGCAAAGGACAGCTTCACGTCTGCTGCAGGAGAAAGACAGACAACCAGAGCCAGCCTGGAGGTTAATCCAACTAATGCTGCAGTTGACTGGAGAGTTCGCTGCTGCAAACTGGGCCACGGAGCGCCGAGGAAGTGCTTAGCCCGATGGTTTAATGGGCTAAGTGACAAGGAGGACTAAAAGCATGTGGGTTTTACTGGTTTCCATTTCCAACGGGAGGCCAGTCGACTAAGCCAATACACACCACTACAAGCCTTACTTTTCGTTGGTGTTAGCCGTGCTAAATGCTTTAGGGGTGGCAATGTCCTGACTCAATTTGGTCTAGACTCGGATGGATTCCTGTGAAATTTGGCATTGGCATTCATGGTCCCCAGAGGTTAAATCGTCCCACTAACAGCTGATTTGCACAGAAATTTGCTACGGACGTTGGAGCCTCCTCGGGATGAGTTGGTGCACTTTTGACTTTTCATCTACCGTCACCATATGGTCAAATCTGTCCATTACTTTGGTTGAACATTCCCATTGCCCCAATGCAGTGATTTTAGACCACTGTGCCGTGAGAAAATGTCCAAATATAACTTAATCGGTCCAAAAAAATACATTTAGTTGCTGCAAATAATTTTCCATTGTTGAGCGTCAACATAGTGGCTGGCTAAGTAATTCAATTCAGTATATGCCAGTGTGTTGCAGTAGGTCGCATAATACTGACCTTGTTCATTTGAGACGGGGGAATTACATGATGCACAGGAGACGTTTCAGTGGCAAGACGAACGGCGATGGAGAAATATTTGAAAAGGAAAATTGCAGACCCTGAACTGACACTGGACAGAGTTCTTACACAGACAAATAAAATGCAGAATTGGTGGCGGACATAATAAATT